GGTAAAATGAAGATCAAACGCTATAAAAGACATGCTGAAAAGATGTTTACTGTTTCTAAAAACTTCTGCGCATTAAAGAAATAGTTCAATCATATTTTGTCTTTTATCAAAGTACTTTATGGAGAATCCATGCCATATCGACAATTGCCAACGTGACATTGGGAAAGTTTTGCATCGAAAAAAGAACAGTTACAAATAGAAATGATTCATCTTGACTAACGGTAAAAAATCAGATGAATGTGAGCTATTCGACGAATAAATTTCTCAATCGTTTTGCGACGCTGTTCTTATGATAATACCAAATGAGGAGAAGACAAAAGAAGAATTGTAAGAAACAGTCTTTGATTTGAATTAAATTGAATTCGATTTGATATTAGCCAAAGTAATCATAATTAACATATACATACTTCGTCTTTCTCTACGATGGCTATTGTTTTTATGAGCAAAACTTGATCTTTATTTCAGTAATAATGACGAATGGAGTAGGGTATGATCGATTGAGATTGACTGACGATTAAATGGATCAAATTGATCCTTACTTTTCATCTTTCTTCAGATTTTGTATTATTCGAATGTTTCAGTTAGTAGTCATACTTCTTTCAAAAAGAACTATGATCATAAAGAACGAAAATGTTCATTAATGTTGATACTCATGCCTTAAAATCTTCTGCTTTCTTTCGAGAGTTGAATTGATTTCTGTCGACTCATTTATTATTGTAGACAAGGATAAAGCATGTTGTTGAAATCGCATGAATCATCCACAGAAGACAACGAAAGAGTGATTGACGCACATAGTGTTTTACTTACTTTTTGTTCTACCGAAGGTGTATATGTTCACACATAATTCATTTGGGTAGCTGCTGTCACTAACATCGAACAAGATTGATAATCAAATGCACTTCGGTACACTTCATTGATTTTTCGATACTTCAAATTGTCCAGTTTAATAAAAAACAACATATAGTTGGCACATAGACGAATGACATTAAATCAACATGTATTGATAAACATAATGAGACATTTTTTATGCTTTTCTGAAAGCAGCATTTTAAAACACTGCTATGTGTGAGTAATAAACAAAACAACAATGCATAATGCAATAGAACTTTCTCGTCTTTTGGCCGTATCGGTGTTTGTCACTTGTTGCTTATATGTCATTGTGGAATTTTAGTTTCTTGGATATGGACGGCATCAAACACGAGTTACTCGAAAATCATTCCCAAATAAAACTAAAATATTCACTAATCAGAAAATATTTTTGATTTTAAATCCTGATTCGATGACAAACAAAGTCAGTTAATTATACTCACTAAATTGAAAAATACATATTACTGTGTGAATTCTCCTCTTAGGAACAAAGATACTAAACATGATTTCGGACTGTTACGGAAAGCTGATCAGGCAGTCCCAAAGTCATAGAACGTATTACGATAAGCAACATAAATCAACGAAAACTTTGTACACTTGCTGTATCATTCATTTCGAAGTGGCATCAATCCACTTTTCGAAACTCAATATGATATCACGGCATTCACGAAATTAAGTTGGGTAATATTTGTAAACGAGTTTCTAACGTTCTATCTCAATACGCTTGGCTATTCCATCCGTCGAAATCTTCGAAGAGTAGTACATTTTCATGCATACCTTTTTATTATTTTAGACTCTCGATACAGTTTGTCTATCATACACAAAAAAGTCTTTTGCAGTCGAGTAAGTTTGTCAACAGAAGATCACATCATGCTTTTCCCAGCAGAAACTTAAGATTATCACAATTCTCTACTGTTTGACCGTCCTCTGAACCAAGTCTCTTACAATTGACCATAGTGTGCTCACAATTTTCGCCATCGTTCCTCTGTAAGACTATTATCATCTACTTGCATCGCTTTCGACTGACCATCTTCCATGTGTCATTCTAAATGTATTGAATCGATAGAGATGATAAATTGAAAATACGACGATGAAAAATATAATAAACAAACTAAACATGTTCAACATTGAAATAATTGTTATCAACTGCGGCATGATGTAATCCTGTTTGTATTTTTTACTGGTTACAACTCTTGATAGAACTATCAATAATGCTCATGTCTTCTACAGATTAATAATCGATAGTATAATTACAAAGAATAAAACGACATGCTTATCTTAAATGGAATAAATCGAATGTTCGAAGCCACATCATCAGATTCTTTTATTAGAGCAGTAAAAATCGAATGAGAGAAGGATCATAGTTACTAACATTATGTTAAGAAACATCGATAAGAGATTGTCTTTGGATAACTAAATTATGAGTTATTAGAGAAAAAGTGTTCAAGAGACTATTTTCTTATGTCTGAATTTCTTCACATTTGTGAAAATTCGTCGCTATACAAAATATGATTTCTCAATATTTGCTTTTTGAATGACTTTTTCACTTATTTTCAGTCTCTTATGTCATATGGTTCTATTTGTAGAATATAGGTGATAGTAAAAAAATTACTTGAAGCTCTTATTAATATCAAGACATGAAAACGAAGCTACTTTCAGCAGCTGAACTTCACATTAGTGTATACTCCGCTTTCACCATTCTGAATATGCAAGTATCCATTGTTTTTTCTCGAAATACAATTTTCTATGGCTCTGCATTATTCTTTCAAATCGATTACTATCTCTTCCATTGAAACTGAAATGCAGCTCAGATGATGTCAAATAAATACTAGTTACAATGCCTATGACAAAGTAGTGCAGATAGCTGACTATTGAGTATTTATTAGTATAAATAAAAAGTAGCTAGATAAGCGTAAAGAGAATTTCGTTGTCTTTCATATTAAAAAGAGGACTTTTGTTAGAGAAGCCATGGTAGTTTCTTTCTCTGTTTTATAATTGAATCCGAATATTATCATCAGAAAAGATGAATCGAGAGAACCAGGACAAGAAACATAATATATACATGTTATCCACAATGAAAATATCTTTTGAGCAGTCTAGTTACAAAATTCTTCAGTAACAACTGCTATAGATGTCGACAATAGTGTCAGTAACTATGATAGCATTGTAAGTTTTTTTTTTCGGCTAGTATACTAATGTTTGATTTGTTGTTCTTATTATTGTCATTATCACTGATGTTTTTGTTTTCTCAAAATTTATTTATGAGGCTGTAAAGCAGTATATTTTTGTTCGCTACTTAACGCAAGAAAAACAAAAGCTTTTTGCTATGTAAGAATAAAAAGATTTGCATGTTTTTTCCTATGCAAATTCGACGTGAACCCTGCAAAACATCTTTTCAATCAATTTAGCTGGACGCTTAACTTCGAAATCCTTTTTCTTTTATTGATTCCGGGTCCAGCTCTGTTCAAGTTACAATCAAGTTTTGGTGGCATTGATCTATAATGATATAGACGGTATTGCCATATTTTCTATTGATTTGTTCTTCTAGCTAGGCATTAGTTATGTGACATCATCTTCCATAAACAACTAAATCCGTAAACTGAATGGAAAAAAACTAAGTTGGCTGGTACTGGTAATGTGAGAGCACTCATAGTTTAAATTTGACATAATTTTGACTGACATCTGGCATTTTCATAAAAGTACAAAAAAAAATAATATTCATTTCAGAAGATACTAAAAAAATTCAAGCAAGAAAACTAGAATTACGACAATCAGCATATAATCATTTTACTTATCCACAGGCTTAGATTCATTTTAATTGATTAAATATATTCAGTCGACATGCTCGATTTCGTATAAAAGATCAAATAAAAAACAAGCACAGAAGCACTGGAAAAATCGGATCTATTTTGTTTACTAATCAATGCATTAGTTTATTATAGTAATGAAGCTATTTTAATGATTATCTTAGTCACAAAAGTACATATCAAGCATTTCAAGCATTGAAATAAACTAGAACAACAGTAATTGTAATAAGATATGTTGGGTTCAATATGATAAAACTCATGCGGTAACTACCAAGGAATTACTGCCATTTATTGAAGGTGTTGTACCATGGTATATTGTATCGAAATGGCTGAGTATTTTTGAAGTCTGTAAAACACTGACAGAATTGAGTCGTTTCCGAGCCGACCTGCTGATGTTGATGCGTTTGACTCATCTGTATTAGTCATAAAGTTTAAATCGACTTCAGTTACAAGATAAATTTTTTTTATAGATAGCGTTGCAAAAACATATATCAGTATAATATTTTCTGAAACTTTTTTCTTCTGGATTAATTTGAATTCTTTCTAATTAACAATACGAGTTTAGGTAGAAAACATTCTCTCCACTCGTTTATAGCTGGAATTGAAAGTTGTCAGCGCCACCATCGGCTCTTATGATTATCATGGAATACCGGTGGTAATGTGAACAAACTTGTGACATGGGTAGACTTCATGTGATGATAAAGGAAATAGCACCCTTGCAATCTGTCCGATATCATTATCGTTTGTTTGAGGAACTGTTTGCACACAATTCTGTTACGCTTAGTTTTAGTACCCGAAATGAAAATAGTTTTGGATTGCAAATCCATGTTTGATTTTATATGTTGAATGACTCTCAGCTCATAATTCGAATACTTCATGCTAATAGGATATATCTTGAATTTTTAAAGAATTCTTACAATGAATCGTCGATTTTCCTCAACTCTATTTGTTCGATTGTCTCTGCTTATCGTTGGTTGTAGAAGATCGGTAATACCTTTGATTGAAACTATTTGACAAAATTCAACTGGAATATTTGTTTTTCTCTTTTTTTTAATATGAGTAGATAAAAACTTGTATTTTATTGTTCTTGTTCTCTTAGTTCTGCAAAATGATTAGCTTCTATTACCATTGATATATCATCTCTTTTTATTTACATATAAATAGCATACCTTTCAATTATAATGATTATAAATTCAGTGATATGATAGAAACAAATAATTGGTGTTGTGAAGAATATTCTAATTTTATTTAAAAAAAAAGGATCAGTGAAAATAAGTTTGACAATGTATTTAAGAAAAAAAATACAAAAAAAAATTTCATGTTCTTTCACGTTACTTTCCATTTCATACGAATTACATGTCTCTCTGTTCTTTTACGCACTGGATCATCTTCCGATAAAAATTTTGCTCGAATTCTTAATGCTTTCTCGAAATATTCCAGAGCACATTGATATTCTTTGATTGCTTCATATTTATGTCCTGCACTACTGAAACTGGTTGCCAGATCGAGATGATCAAACGGTAATACTCGTTCTCGCATTTTTAATGCTTTCAAACACAATTCAAGTGCTTTCACTTTATCTCCTTTAGCACTGAGTACAGTGGAAATGTTATTTAGAGTCGTAGCAATTTCTGGATGACCTGAAGGGAAACACTTTGTTTTCATAGATAGTGCAAGATGGTAATGTTGCAGAGCTTTATCATATTGACCTTTACTCTGATAACAATCAGCAATATTATGAAGAACATTAGCAATATCAGAGTGATCTTCAGGCAAACATGTCTGAAACATTTGAAGAGAGGAAAGAAAAAAATTAACTGCTTTTTCAATATCCTTGGTCATTAGATAAACGAGACCGATAGAATTCAAAGTTTCAGCAATGTGAACATGAATTTCAGGTAAACAAACTCGTTTGATTTCTAATGAGTGTTCATAATAAGTGATTGCTTCAACATACTTGCGCAGACCTCGATAAATAGATCCAATACTATGTAAACATTGTGCTATTTCGAGTTGACATGAATCGTTCAACTCTTCCAGCACTGTTTTAGCTTCTCTGCAATGCTTAAGTGCTTTCTCATAATGTCCTTGCTCCATTAGAACATGACTCATATTACGCAATACACGTGCTGAATCTCGAAGTAGAGATGGGTGCAGTTCTCTCATCAATTGATAGGCTGCGTCAAAATGATACATGGCTTGATCAAACTCAGCCTTTGCCTGACAAACTAGTCCAAGTTGATTGTGAATATAAGCAAGATTTTCATTTCCGGGATCTTTCAATAATTGTTGAAAATAAGTTTGAGCTGCCTGATAGTGACCCATCCGAGTCAGTAACGACCCAAAGAACATCGATACACTATCTCCTTCCATTTCTTTCTTTGTTTCTTCGATGTACTGTCGGGCGATTTCTCGTCCGTCATCTGTTGCACTTAAACAAACCTTCCACATATCATCTTCTTCACTAACTGTCTGAATTTTAAAAACGGCGCCTAAATCAAATAGAACTTCTTGCTCATCGGGAAAATCGCTGAAACTCGTTATATCTGCAAAAATGGAACAATCACTTTCTTCATTTTGACATTCAATCTCAAACAGTACTGGAACAGAATCAACTTGTTTTTTACCTTTTACAGCAAAATTAATTGCTATGCAACGTGAACGACTTGTGGATAAATAACCATTGATTGAAATGAGTTTACCCTCATTTGATCGAAATTCTTCAAGTTCGGCTAGTGTTAATCTAACACCGCGATAGACAGTCGTGATTATCATTCCATTGTTAGACTGCTCTATCATCTTCTTGTGTTCACTTGCCAGTGCTGATGATAGATCCGCAATAAAAAAACGAAAGGTATGCAGTTGTTCAACATCTTCAGTACGCAATGCTTTATTCACCATTTTATAGACAAAAGTCTCTCGTGTGTACCATCGGATACATTCTTCACTTGTATAGTATTTTTCGAACTCATCGATTAATTGTAACTCTTGTTGATTGTCTCGATAATAATCACGACATGCTTTGATCATTTGTTGTTTAGCTTTATTATTGGGAGGAAAACGAAGAATAACATCATTGAACAATTGAGACCTAAGAATAGAGAAGATAGCTTATAAAATCTTATTAAAACGGTCATTTTTAGAAAAGTAATGAAACCCTCTATAACAAATATTGTAACAAATCTAGACTTTTGACGGCTAGTCCCATGTATTCAAACAAGTAACGAAAAAGCAGATAATTTTTTTAGCATTCAAGGATCGTTTTTTTTTGGTACTCGTCTACTGTGTAGTACAAGTTGAGTAGATCAAACGAGACTGGATTGTATTAATCGATCTAAAAGCTGTGTCAACATTGGTTTTATCTTTCTACTCTCTAAAAAGAGCTATAAACAATCTTTTAAAATTTTGTGTTTCATGCAACAATAACGTCCAATAGTAATAGTTTTGAAAAAAAGAAAAATTCTTCTAAAACTTTAATATATCTTTTTCTTCTTGTCCAGAACCGTCTTAAGACTAGAAAGTTCTATTGTTTCACAGACTGGTTATTTAGATAGTAAGAGTTGAAAACATCCATTCATCTTTTTCGACAAAGTTGCCCTACCTAGTTTCGACAGACATTTCTAATAGAATCACGAAAAGACATAGTAGATCGGTAATCGACCGATCCGAACCAATCTAATCATCACTTACGATTTCATCGCTGATCTTTGAAGGTCTCAAATAAAATTCTTACCAAAGAAACTCCGCTGTTCGTTCTGATAAATTCATCGAAATCTTCTGTTTTTGATCATAGAAACTAAATGCTTCGACTTGTTTGTTGAATAAATGAAGGTTTTCGCGAATACTTGAATCAAGTTCTGTTCTATCAGTAAATATACCGGATATCTTAGAAAATTTTTCCATTAAATGTAAATGTTCTTCACGCCAAGCACAAAATATGAACACCAATTCAAGTTGTTTCAAATCAATAATAGAAGGTAACAAAGACGATGCCCATATTCCAGATGTTACCAAGAAAATTTTCTCATTTTTGACAGATTTAATGTATGAGATACATTGTTGTATGTCAGTGTAGGCAAGAACATAGTCATTGATCGCCCGTAAAGTCTTCATTCTATCTACTGTGTCAGTCCTTTCACCAATATTCGAATCAAACCAAATGAGAGTGACACTCTCCTTATTTTCTTCTGATGATCGATCCAATACTGGTGCCATTTAAATTATTCTACGCAACAATCCTGTTACGATGTGTCGATTTGACGAATTTGTTCACACGCAAAAAAATACTTTACCAATTGTTTACTCTTGTCATTCTCTTTCGTTGTTGCGAAAGAATGAAAAAAGTGTAGCAAAAAAAACAACATTAACTAATTGTTTTTTTCGTTTGTTTTTTCGAATTCTTTCCATATAGTGGCAAATGAAGACATATCATAAATTGACAGACTACAGTCAAACAATCAAAACAAAGTAAAAGAGAAATAATGGATATAAAATTGCAAACAGTGAAGATTTAACCTGACGAAATGGTACACATTCAAAATAGATTTTTGTTGAAAAAAAAGAAGTCGTTGCTCATACGAGTATAGCGAAGGATCAAATTTCATATGTTGATAATGAAAGATGTTATTCAAAATATTTTATAGTGAATATGAAAGAAAGCTAAGGAACTGACATCTTGAATTCTATCGAGTTTTATTTGAATCCTTTAGGATTCCTCTGTTTTATGGTTATGTCGAGCAAGTTTTCTTTTAGAGGAAGCAATAATAGTGATGTGTTTGCTAGTATGAGAAGGCGAGTTCAAATCTCTGCCATTATACTTAGACACTTCTTGTAGATGGTAATTTACATTAGGTTCAGCATGCAAACTCTATGAAAGACATACAGATTATTAGAAATTAGTAGCATGACTCAGTCCATCAATGAAAGAAATAACTCTAAGAATTCAAAATCAATACCCATATTATGTAGTATTGGTTTTTTCATCGAAATTATTTCGAAATTTTGAAAACTAAGTTAGTTCAAGAAAGAATACATTTATTTTGCAGTTATATACATGAAAGTATAATAAAATGTGCAGCGAAACGTTTCAGTTACTGATCAAATATTACTTATAATATTTATACAAATAATATCGTTTAGTTTTCATACAAATAAACTCTCACAAAAAGAAGTGCTAAACAATTTTATCTGGAATTTATATTGTGCTTTGATTGTCAACAATTACAAGATGCTGTTCTTTGTTATGCGATGTACTAAATGGTATTTAATTTTCTGATGATTTATTTCTTTTAAGTATTAAAAATTTTAGCTAACATCTCAAATACACGGTTAGTTAAAATCAACTGAAAATATTCTCACTTACAGCGACATTTCAATGAGTTATTCTCATTAACACATGTTCGGTCTAAGTACAGTAAAACCTCTCTATAGTGGACACTCTTCGGACTTTTCAAAAGTGTCCACTGTAGAGAGGTGCTCACTATAGGGAGGTTGTGTGCTTCCCAAAACTAATATCTTTTTCAAACAAGTCGACATGTTTCTAGACATCTAGAGCATTAGAGAATAAAATAATCGCGATAGAGCACATTATTACTTTTCTTTTTATGTATTTTAGTTTTGAAACATAGAAAAATCAACAATTAACACAAAAATCTTTGATAGAGCTTTGTTTCGCCGCTTTCGAATACAGATAAATGTCACTTAATTGTGATTCAAGATCAGAGATAATCGTGCAGATGAGTCTGTTGCTCAGACACAAAAAAGATGAACCTGATAAACTATGACCACTTTAATTGCTCTTAATTAGTGCAATCTATTGTTCCGCAGTCAACACTCATTGATTAGACATAATGATCTCTTTCTCTTAATACTTGTAACAAAAGGACACAAATTTTTCAATGCGATTATATATGTATACCAGTCTCTCCTATTCAATACAAAGAACGTATTCTTTCTCTACCACTGAGATGTATTTTTTTCCATTCCGCAGTCTGATCCATAAAGAAGAGTCATTATGTTGAATAACTAATGATAGTCATCACGACATTCTCTTTGAACTCATAGTTAGTGTCCACTATACAGAAGTTATTTATGAAACAGGGACCGTGAAAAAGTGTCTACTATAAGGAGGTGTCTACTATGAGAGGTTTTACTGTACTAAGTTATATAAAACAAAAACTTTGACAAGCATAAAATGAAACTATAAAAGTCTGATATAAATATCTTGTAATATTTGAGAACTATTGGCATTTTCTTGTTGTTCGAACTTCTAGAACACCCTATAATAGTAAAAAAATGTTTTCTTCCTATTCTTTGTTAATTCCTTGTATAAATGTCAATATCGATTAGAAAAGAAAATTAAAACAACTATTTTTATTTATACGGTTCTCATTCATGTTCTACACGTTATTCTTACAATAGAATCAAATGTAATATGTATTAAATGCAGCACACTTTTGAAATGGTTTTTAGATGACATTGACATCCCTCTGGTTTTGAATTATTCATTTTTCGGTTCAATGAAGTCTTCATCAAATTATAAATATAAGAGCAAGACTTGAAGAATTTCGAAAAATATGTTCTCTAAAATTATTCATTTCTAACACTGTCATTTTAATATTCAAGAGATTCTAATAAGTATTTCTTCAAACTAAAATCAATATTATATTTGAGTAAAATTGCTTGAATATTTTACTACCATTATATATGTTTTCAAAGCAATTTTATGCAATTCTAGAATAACAATGATATGACAGAAAAAAACGCTGAATTTAATTATTTAATAAAAAACATTAAGCTTGAGTAATTTTTATATCAATTTTTATAATCCAATACTCCCAATACTGGTAAATGATCTGATGGATAAAACTTATTTTCGGAGTCAGTTAAATGTTCATGTTGCAATACTTTGAAATGTGACGATGTAATGAAAATATAATCTATTCGATCGCCTATCCCATGTTTTACGTTGAAGGTACACCAAGTACCATCTGGACCACAATGAGGCAATTCGGTGGAAAGTTTCGCATCTTGAAAATTAGTATTTGTTATAATAGTACGATAAGCATCTGATTCGGGTCCTGAATTAAAATCACCAGTCAGTATTGTAGGTGTCGAGGGTCCAGCTATTTGTTCTACACGATTTAAGATAAGATGAGCACTTTGCCGACGAGCGTTACGACCTTCATGATCGAAATGTGTATTGAAATAATAAATTTCTTTGTTTGTCAGTCGATCTTTGAGTTTCACCCAACTACATATACGTGGAAGAGCTGCATCCCATCCTTTAGTACCGGGCGTATCTGGTGCTTCTGACAACCAAAAAGTACCTTTATCATTGAGCTCAAAACGATCATGACGATAAAATATACCACAGAACTCGCCACGGTCTCTGCCATCGTTTCGACCAACACCGTAAGAACCATAATTCGGTAATCCTGTTTGTAAATCAATCATTTGTTGAGGAAGAGGTTCTTGAACACCAAGTAAATCAGGTGAATAATGTTGAATAAGATTAATAACACGATTTTTACGATGATGCCATTGATTTATTCCATCGTACTTAGTATCAAGACGAATATTGTAAGTCATTAAACGAAACGAAGATATACATTGTTGAGATGACATGATACTAGAAAAAATTTTTTTTAAAATGAAAAATTCTTCCTAAAATCTTCAACAGAGATAAATGATGTGTTGAATTGTTTAGTCGAAGAGGTCAAAATTTACTTTGAAACAAAACAAAGAAAGAAAGAAAGAGAGAAGGCAATAACTTTAAAGCCAAATTCGTTACATCATTTATAGTGACCTTGTCTACACCAGAAACATAATGTGGCATTAATTTAGTAATAAATCGACATGCTTATACACTTAATAGTTAATGCACGAATAAAAAAATTAGACTCTGCTATTATGATGCAGTTGAAAGGCATATGTAACAAGCACTTTTGCAAAAGCAATTATTGCATTTTTTGTTTGTTAACAATGACAGAGAAGTCGCTGCTCGTGTCATTCTTCTTTTATTTTATATATATTTTTTTAATTTCTTTGTAAACGTTATTTTAGCGTTTAATGTTTTTGAAAACACATTCTATCGTTTTTTTAATTGGTATCGACAATGTCAATTTGATTGATGCATTTAAATTAGCTCGTCTCTTGAAAATGCATTATATACGGATTACATTTTCCACTAAACAGGTTCATAAATTTGGGCTTAAATTGTTTGGTGTATACAAGGTCATTGAGTCACATACCAAGAAATTTTATTAGCCGAAGAACAGAACGTTTCATATAAACTCAAACGTGCGAAGCGACACTTATTATAAGAATCTATCGCCATCTACATTGTCTTAAAACTAGTCATGCGGTTATCGTTATTCAGTTAGAATATTTTATAATTTACCAGAGATTTTGAATCCATTCTGGTAATCTTTCAAAGTACTTAGTTTATTTTTTGATCAATATGTTGCTCAAATATCACGCATAATTTCGTCTAATGTAATACAACAATGATCGAAATTCTGAGAATAAAAATTTTCTGGTTACATACACAAAGAACAGAACAAGTTATTCATCTCTGTTCGATACAGTTTTAAAACTACAATAAAGTTTTGTATATTACTCTGTTACGCTTGTATCACATTTAATGTTCATTTAAAAGTTAGTTCTACCTGATACTATCAGATATCAATAAATTCGGTGATTTGAAATGAATCACAGGATATTTTTGGTTCAGAAAGAACAAGATTATCATCATAGGTCAATAAAAATTTATTCAGCAAATAAACAAGTTATTTTCTAGATTTCTATCTTGTTACTAAGATGAATACGTATTATAGTATATAGAAAGACATATCATGAATTATGTAAATATCTAGTTGAATAGGATACATATGTACTAGTTGAACTTTAGTACAAAAATGATGGTTAACTGCAATACGAAGAACATGTAACTGTTTTGCATTAAACATTACTAATAGACCGAATAGGATCATAAGAAAAGCAACAATATCAGCGACAATCGTAACTTGTAAACTTATGTATAGGTCAATTGTAAATAATATTCATTCATATAGCGGATCAAAGTCCATCATCTTAGCTATTTATTCATTCAGTATTTATAGAGAATATTGTATATAAAATAACCATGATCAAAATTACACCAGCGAGTAACGATTATACTACTGAGCTTAGAATTTGGCAAGCATTGAACCAAGACAATATCGATCGATTGATGCAAAAACCATAAAATAAGGTGTTAAAAACGGAAATATAGTGATAATCTATTTTATAAGATAACACCAGAAAATGATGTATATATGTATGCTGTAAATTTATCTTGATATCCATTAATAAACAAATGATTAGCAAGAATACCTAAACACGGGATAAGGAACTTTTGCATAAAAGATGAACAGAAAAATTGCGCTCTGGAAAATGGATTTTTCTCGCTCAACAATTGTTATATATGATTTAGTAAATCACTTTTGATAGAATAACTCATTTGTGAAAAGAAGAATTTCAGTAAAAATCACTTTTGTGAAACCGAAGTACATGTCTTCTGAAACTATTTATCTTCAGAAAATATATTGTATTGCACGTTAACCGACGCAGTTTTATGCGCTGATTACGAATATTACCGTAGTTTTGCGCAACGAATATCTCTGTATTCGCAAAATTAATAATTTTGAGTCAAAGGCCTGCTTCTTTAGGAAATCAGTATTGCTGTTTCCCTGTATTGATATGAAACGACGCAATGACTAACAATAATTTAAATATAGAAGAATTGAAACGTTATCATTGAATAAAGGTATAATATGCAATGAAAGAATACTCAATTGATAATTCTGATTCCCACATTCGAGGGTGTATGGTGTGGTTTTTCTTTTCAATAAAAGACTCGTTTTAGAACTTAAAATTTTCAAGCATTTTTAATTATCACTTAATGCTACAAACTGACATAGTTTTATTGAGTTATGTGACATGAGTTGAGTATATGGTCGAGTTTTTGAGTGATGTCTTACACATACTAGTTTATAGGAATATTTACGTATTGAGCGTGAGAACATGGTGCTACTGAAAGATTAGGACTTCAATATATGCCTAAATAAAGGTAATTTGATTTTTCTGTATACATATCACGTACAAATAACTCGCAAACTCTCTTAGCTAAGGAATTGCAGATATTGGCAAAAATAATCCCAATGTAAGTGCAGATATATTTTATTATCGCGAATAGTGTTGCCTCAAAATATCTGTAGTTTTCTCAGCTAAAGTATAGACAGTCAAACAAGAATGTTATTTGGATATAAAGCCTTTTGAAAATACTGACGCGTTCACTAAGCAAAGACTTTCAAGACTATGTAGCTTGAAGTCTTTACCAACCATTGATGTCTTTGCATCCTGTCCCATCGAACGCGTACCAATGAAATGATTCAAAGGTGTCAGTGTTATGGATATACAGTGGCGGACTAAATATTTCGTACGATTTTCTTTGTAAGTGTAACTCCATTAAGAAACTGCCTTTTGAGTTCACATTTTAGCCGATAGTGCAGTCATGGTCTGTAGTATATCCGCACAAAAACTAAGCTAATCAAATTGAGTTCTAGTTGCATTGGAATTATTACATTGAGATATAATGACTTTTCATGGATAGAATTTCTTGTACGATTTTCAATCCACATTGTTTTCCTCTGAGATTGTTTAGAAAAAAAGCAAAGCTCGTATAGACAACATAGAAGAAAATATGAGTTACATTATGGCTATTGGAATTTTCTTCAAAACAAACTATTTTTCGAGTGACACATTTCTACCTCATGAGAAACACAGCATGTTGCTTATGTGGCACTCAATATTTTTGCACTTACATATTTCATTTTTTAAAAACATAGGATTTTCAAGAGTAGCAGAGACAGCGGAGAGTATCATACGAATGAAGTTTTTCCGCAAGACCATATGCTGTTTCTACACAGGTTTTAACGTTGTTGCGAATGCTATATTTAAAAAAAAAGTTCGGGTATGTGAGTGCGAAAACGTTGTGTGCCACATTAGTAACATACCGTGTTTCTCATGAAATCGAAATGTGCCACTCAAAAGAAAATATTTTTCGAAGAAAATTTCAATAGCCATAATATAGCTCGTGTTTTTTTCTATGTTATCTATACAAGCTTTGTTTTTTTTATCTAAACAAACTCAAAGAAAAATAATGTGAATCGAAAATTGTATAAGAAATTCTGTCCACGAAAAAGTCATTATATCTTAATGTTATAATTTCAATTCAACTACAACTCGATTTTATGATCTTAATTTTTGTGTGCATATACTACAGACCATGACTGCACTATCGGCTAAAATGGGGACTCAAAAGGCAGTTTCTTAATGGAGTTATACTGAAAAAGAAAATCGTACGAAAAATTTTGTCCGCTATTATATATTAGCTATACTATGGTTAGTTTTCTCTTAATACTATAGTCTGATGTATGTCTCCTTGCAGAAACAGTCTTGGACATCATTATTAAAAATTTTTCATCGATAAAAAAATCTTTTTTGATCATTGTCTTGAAAGAATAGATGTATAAACTTAAGAAGCATCTAGACCGATGGACAAGAAATCTTCTAACGAACTGGATCGACAGTTCACGTTTATCAATTGTAACTCTATATGATGGGCAATGAACATAAAGCTTTTTTCAGACAGATCCAAGTTTTTGTTGATGATTTATTTATATACGCCTAAAGCATGGCGCTGATTTACTTGAACACATGTATCATTTTGTTCAGAATTGAATTCTGGATCCGATTCTATCAGAATCAGGATTTCATCCGACAAGTGTAACCTATGAAATTTTTTTATAATACACATTTAACTATCATCAAATGTTGATTCGAAACTATTTTGTCCTTGATAAAAAGCAATAAAAACGATGCTATAATCGTGATCACATAGGATAAAATTTACATTATGCTTTATTGTAGTAAAAGGTACCTTCTGAATCAATCATTATTAGGCACGTACTAAAGATGTATATCGCAGCTAGAAATCTTTTACTGTCGCGTGATGGTTCCATATTCAAAAAGAAGTTTCGAGTATCTCTGATATCGCTATACTCGCTGCTCTTACTTACTGACGACTTTCATTTAATCTCAGAATTCTACATTTGTAATTGCTGAAATCCTGCACTAATCCATCCAGAATTGGAATGTCGTCACAAGCATAGGCCACCACAGCACCGCCAACATGATGATACTACTAAAACATTATGTAAGTCACGTAAGCTATTTAAAAAGCTTGTCATTGCTACACGTTATAGACCTCTCTGACACAAGCTCATACAAAATGGTTTTTTCTTGTACAAAAAAAAGCAAAGCAAGAATTTTTTCAATGCAATTGTTTGACAAATGACGTCTCGATTTGACAGCAGCTAATGTTGTTTCAATGTAGATCATATCGAATCTTATCTTATATATATTAGATTGTTACTCGTGCATCGTCTTAATTTCAAATTTTGATCTAAGATCTTACCAGAAACATGCATGTAGTTGTCCTAGGAGGGATGAAAAAAACATTCGTAACAGGTTCTAGAACATCAATATCTTAGCGGCTAGTGACTGAGCTAAACACTATGATT